AAGGCTTTTTCAAAATCGCCCTCTTTTCAATGGGGCTTGACCCCTGTTTTAGGGTTAGGGATGTGCCCCAGTGTAGGGTTAGGGTTAGGAAAACGAGGCGTCCTGGCATGGTTTTGATGGTTGGAACGTGTTGAGAAGGGGCAGAAAGGATGAGCTGGGCAGAAAAACCTCCTCCAGGAAGGCTTTTTCAAAATCGCCCTCTTTTCAATGGGGCTTGACCCCTGTATTAGGGTTAGGGGTGTTCCCCAGGGTAGGGTTAGGGTTAGGAAAATGAGGCCTCCTGGCATGGTTTTGATGGTTGGAACGTGTTGAGAAGAGGCAGAAAGGATGAGCTGGGCAGAAAAACCTCCTCTAGGAAGACTTTTTCAAAATCGCCCTCTTTTCAATGGGACTTGACCCCTGTATTAGGGTTAGGGGTGTGCCCCAGGCAGGGGCGTCCCAGGCATGGCTGCTCCTCGCTTGGTTGGCCAGGGCGGGTTGCAGGTGTCCCCTCTCGGCCCTCCCTTTCTTGGGCCTCCCCATGAAGGACTCCGGGGCAGTCAGAGGAACCTGGCTCCCGAGCTTTGTGTTCGCCCCCGATCTTGTGCTCTTGGAAAGGGGCTCTGGGAAGCTTGAGGCACCGTGTCGTTTGCATTCATCTGCAAAGGAGCAGGCTGGGCCTCAGTGGCTATGCAAGCGTCCCCGGAGGTCACTGCCCTCCCATCATGGGCTCCTCGCCTGCCTTTTCTCCAGCCGCCTCCCTTCAGCCGTCACGCCCCTCCCGAGCCCACGGAGGGAATGAAGGGAGGCTCCCTTCTCCCGGAGGGCCTTCCCTCCCAGGACCGCTTCTGGCTGCTTGCTCGGCGTGTCGGACTCCTTCAAAGGCAGCTGCCGTGCTCCCTAAGGAAGGAAAACACTGGGCCACTTGGCCCGGCCTGTTTGCCGTTTTGGACAGCGCTGTCTGGCCGAATATCCATTCGTGGAAGTGGCCGAATCAAGAATTGCCGAGTTGCAAGGCATGCCGCAAAGGTCCTCCGGCCCAGCCCTGTGTCGCTGCTTTAAGCTGTGCTCCAGATTTGCCGATCCAGCCCTGTGGGGAAGGAAAGCCGCAGGCCCTGCCACGCCTTTGGGTTGAGCGGGTGGGCATTTTGCATGCCGCCGCCGCCACCCTTCCTCTTGCTGGTTTTGCTGGCTGCATGTGCATTTGATAATTAGGCTAAGGCACGAAGGGAGCCCTGGGTTCAGGCTGGAGACAGCATCCTGCCTGCGGAGCTGGAATTGGAGCTCCGAGCCCTTCTCCTCACAGCTGGTGTGGGAAGAATGGTGGGCGGGTGCTCCCCAACGTGGGGCAAGCAGCCTCGGGGAGGGGGCGGGGGCATTTTGTGGGCCAGAAGGGTGGGGACCAGAGAGGCCAGGGTATGAGTTCCCCAAAGCTGCGCCAGCCGCTTCCCACCTCGAGGTCTCCAAATTGGGGTCCTACGGCCGTCACAGTAGGACTGCGCTCTCCTTGACCTCCTTTCCTAGTCTGCTGTGTGGCCCTCTGGCCTAAACCCGATCCAAAAGAATTCAGCTGGTCCGCAGATGCCAAGACGAGGCACCAGGGCGCTTACTTATCCCGGTTCCTCTCTTCCTCCTCCCTCTCGCGCAGGAGTCCGAGCTGGAATGCTGCATGGACACCATGGAGGCGAACACCACCTGTCTTGCCAGCAGCCAGTGCAGCCCAGGTAGGCGCCCCGCCGCTCTCGCTAGGGGCTTCAGCGGGCGTGTTGCCCCTCTCGGGTCCCCAAGAGCGGGATCCATGTCAGGGAGGCGCCCAGGACGGGAGCAGCCCAGGGCCAAAACGGCAGCCCGAGTCCACTTAAAGCACTTGCTGCCCGGGATGAAGCCCACAGTGCAGATCCACTTTCAGGGGGCCGCCGTGCACCGGAGAGCTTTCCACAGTCTCCCTCCTCGGAGCAGCCAGCCAGCAGATAACCCCAGGACCTGTCTGCCGACAGGCCGGGCCGTCTCCCGCCACCCGTGGCCGCGCCCAGCCGAGACGTGCCCCCTGCTGGAGTGTGGAGTCCAGGCGAATGCTCCGTCGTGCCTGCAGGATGCTGCAGAAGCCTCTCTTCGCGCCCACCCCCCAGGCGTGCCACCGGCGCGTGTGGCGCTGTTTAAATCAGCAGATGACTGGCCTAAAAGGCTAATAAATGGCTTCCCTCCCCCTTTATGTTATGTTAGTGCAGCTAATAAAATTAATGTCTTGTTCAAAGTGATCTAATCAAGAGATGGGGTGGGGAACCGTTGCCCGCGCATTCCGAATTTTAATTTTTCACGTCTTTTTTAAAAGGTTAATCTATAGCAATCTCTAGCTGCCTGTTCTCTCCTTCACTGTTTCTCCCCCTCTCCCCCTTTTCTTTTTTAATAGTGTCAAAAAGCTTTGCCTTCCCAGTAGGTCCGTTTTTATGTTTAGATTAAATGTCAGATGTAATTTATCACCGAGGGTATCCAATAAACCACTTCCCACAGAGAGAAACAGAACAGCGGTGTGCGGTTCCCCAATCAGCACCTCACTTATCATGTGCTTTATGGAATAATTGATCCCTGTCTTGTGGATTAAGGTTCTAGACAGGGTAATTTGGGGGGCTGAGCAATATAAGGCCAGTTGGCCCCATTAAAAATCAGAGGGGACACCTCGCATCGCGAGTCTGGTGCCGTCAGCAGCATCGAGACGGCCAGCATCAAAACCCTTGCTAGCTTTACTTCGTCTCCCAGAGCTTTATGAACTCTCCGGGGCAGCTCCTGGTGGTCTTACAACGGGAAACTAGAGACAGGGGGCATCCTAACTGCTTCCCTGGATTAGCCCCACGGTGTGGGGGGGTGCAGCTTGCAGCCTCTGCCAGCAGCTGACCAGATACCTTGGTAAAGGTGTAGGGGAAGAGCTGCCCATGGTGGGAGTCAAGCGAGGGAGCAGCCAAGCTGGTGGGGTGAATCCCCCACACAGCAGGGCTCTTCTTGCTTGTTGGCCGCATTCGGCTTCAGAGAAGCGCTTGGGGACACCGCTCCAGGGGAATAGGGCCAAGACCCCCACCTGCTCTCCCTTCAAACCCCTGCTGGCCAGTGGCGAGACCTCCGGAGAGGCGTTTCAACCTCTCAGGACTGAGCAAAAGCCGGGAAATCCACAAGTGATTGCGGAAAGGGGTGGGCTTCCGAGGCAGGGCTGGATCCGGCCCGCTGGGCTCAGGTTCAGCACCACTGGTCCACAGTGAGGAGCTCTCCGTTTGCCCTGGAGCCGTCCTGGCCCATGGCTCAGGACTTGGAGTGGCAGGCTTCACTCCCTGGGGATCTGTTCCCCTCAGCTCCTCCTGAGTCAGTCTCGGCCACATCCAGACCTCCGTGCAGCTCAGGGTGTCCCGGCCAAGCGCTCGACTTGAGTTTTGCCAGGCAGCCGGGCTCCTTCCCCCCCTCAGATGCAGCGAGGGGACAGAGGCACGGGGGTCTTTTGCAGAGGGTGCTGCTGATGCCTCTTGGGAAGGAAATCCAAAACTAATCCTCGCGGCATGCGCCGTGAGCTGCTCAGGATCCTCTGCACTTTGCGTACACAGAAGCCGCCTGCGTTCCGCCCCTCTGAGGTCCCGTCTTCTCCCCGGGTGCCATTCCCAAAAGGCTCTGGGGGAGTCGTAAGGCGAGGAGGCCTTCAGGGCGGCCAGGCAAACTGAGCGGAGCCGACTCCATCCGATGCTCGATTGCGCGTGGAGGGGAACTGCGGCGCGTCTCCCGTCCTCCTCAGCTCAGCCTCTGCCCCCCCCCCCACAGGCTGCTACAAGCGATGGAACGAAGACGGCAGCAGCAGCTGCGTTAAGTGCGAAAACGGGACGGTCACCGCCACCCCGGTTTACAATCTGACCGACTGCCGAAACAGTGAGTCGCTGGGCGGGAGGCGTCTTTTGTGTGCCCCCCGATTCCCTTGCCCCAGTCGGCTGCGAGGGCTTGGCGCTCTGGGTCTAGTCCTGCCGAGCCGGCTAGCTGCGTGACTTCGGGCCCGTCGTTCACTCTCAGCCCTACCTTCCTCACAGGGTGGTTGTCTGGGGGATAAAATAGAACCCTGTTCGCTGCCTTGGGTTCCTCACAAGCAGGATAAAGAAAGTTGTGCCTATGGAATAGTAGCAGTAATTGTAAATAGGTCCTCCGCAATCAACCAGAGTTTCTGACTTAGAACTTAATGATCCACAACTGGGTAATACCAACCGTGAAGCCCCCTGAAAAGGTACAAGCTTCCCCTTCTGTGGGACTTCTTCTCAGGCCAGGTGGTCCAACAAGAACAGGTGGGGGAAGCGAGTGAGCAGTCCAGGAAAGAGCCCGATGGCCGAGCCTATGTATCCTGCTGTTCTTGGGAAGCTCCAGTCTCAGAACTGGGATTTGCCATCTGAATAATCCAAGTCAGTGGCAGGTTGCACTTTGCAAAACTATTTTCCCAGGTGTTTTGGCAGAAGGGACCAATAGCTGATTTCCATTTCTGAAAGCACAAAGGCCAGCGGGAACTTGGGTAGTGCTCCCTAAATACGCTTCCCCCCCTTCTAGATGCTGGCAGAGGAGTGACCGCACCCACGAATCTAACTACTGCAGCCCCAGTTACAGTCGGTGTTGGTGAGTGATGCACGAGGGGGGCTATCAAAGCGCTTCGCCCCCCAGTCCTGCCTTCAGGGATCCCTGGTGCTGAATATATCCTCAAGACTCCCGCAACATTAGTCCGGTTTCGCCGCGAATTATCTCATGAGTGGGTCTGGGCTGAAGCGCAAACCCTCCTTGTGCAGCCTCAGAGTTTGCTTAGTCTTTCAAAGTGGGGGTGGGAGTGGTATTTAAAAGCATTTGCCCAGTCTGCCTGGGAACAGGGTGAGTTTCCTCTTAAAGAAAGATGGTGGGAGATGAGCATACCCCCAAGCCCCAACTGATCTGTGGCATCAACCAGCTCCCAACAAAAATACCTTTCCAGCAGCATCCGAATACCTGCTGGAGGTGCATCCCATGAATAACTCGCCGGGCATGGATGGCGGAGTCGGCTGCAGTCTAGGAACAGAAATCCATTCTTTCTCTGCTCAGCTTTTCTGTTCTGCCTTTCCCAGGGGGACCGGAAGTAGCTGCTTCTCTCATCTTCGGCACATTTGTTATCAGCCTCTTCCTCATCCTCTGTGTTGCTTCATTCTTCTACCTCAAACGTGCCAATAAACTTCCAAATCTCTTCTATAGAAGAAGCAAAGGTAAATTGCACCTGGTGCTCCTGCTTTTTCAGAATCTAAGGGGAGAAAGCTGCCAGGTCCACCTATTGCAGTCAGAGCTTACTTGGTGGTGGCCCCACATCTGTGGAACGCCCTTCCAAGGAAGGACTGTCTGGCATCATCACTGTATAACTTTAGATACTGAGTCTTTAAATATACTTTTTTTCCAGGTTTCATTTAATCCTAGCTGGTCTGCTTGATTATTCACTTTATTGCTGGCTCTTTATTGCTGATTAAAAAAAGTATTTTTATCTTTTTATTGTTTGTTTTGGTTGTAGTTTTAGGATCGTAGGGGTTTCAATATAGACTAGCCAATTGCCTCTGCTCGTTGGGCAGTCCTTAAATTTGAGGAAGGGAGAGAATAATTCCTTGAGGATTTCAACAGACTAGAACCCTTTCCCTGTTCATCTAGAAACAAACACAGAGCCTTTTTTTTTTTTTTTTTTTTTTTTGGCAAAATGCATGCAGCCAAAACGGTCCCCTTTGGCCACTAATCCTTTCTCCTTTTTTATTCCTCTGCCCTGCTTTAGGATCCGTTGTACAGTCAGCTGAATCGGTAAGTAAAGCGAGGACCACTTCTGCTCATATCTCCTTAACAGGACTGCCAGGGAGCCTGACTTTTCAGGCATGGCCTCCAGGGTCTATCAGAGCTATGTCAAGAGTCTGGAAACACGTGGTCTTTAATCCTCTGATCATTCCTGCTCGAAATAGTTTAAAAGAAGCCCCTTTAAAGGGATGGCTTTGGTACCTAGATCTAGGAGGCTCTGATTCCCAGATGGGGGAAGAATTATGCAGCTGAGATCAGAAGCCCCTTCACGCTGTTTTTCCGGTGTGGAAGGGTTTTGAAATAATGCAGTGGGGCAGGTGATGCAAGGGCTGTAGGGCCTTAGATAACTCTCCATGCCGGGCTTGGGAGGTCTGGGGGAGAGTTGATCTGGTGTGCGGAACCTCTTTTGAAGCAAGGGCCGAATTGGATTTCAGAGGAGTTCTCGTGGGCTGAATTCCAGAGGCGGGTGGATCTGGAGGCGAGAGAGAGATGGATGAAACTTCCAGCACATCATGAAGCTTCGGCTGCCAACAGTTACGGCTTAGAAAAGGGTGTTTCAGACTCTTTGAACAGCAGAGAGCCACACAAAAAGAAGATAACCTCCAAGGATCCGTGTTTAGGGATGGAGAGAAGGTGGCCCCAGGGGAAGGAGTGTGTCCTTTTAGGGAACCCCAGAGGGCTGGATTTGACTCTGTCCTTGAAGGTCCGTAGCCGAGGCTTAGCAAGCCCTGCCACGAAGCTTCGAGATCGCTTAATCTTCACCCTTCCTTTGCAGGCATCCATGTTATCTCCGCCTTCTTCGGGTAAGCATCTTTTCTCACTTTGCTTTTCACTCTAAGCTCCTTGTTCTCTTGTTGTCAAGTAGTTGCAATGCGGACTTTGAAAGGAAAAAAAATCCTTACCTGGACAAGTTATTTATACACAGGGGCTGCTATTTGGAGTAGCCATCTTATCTGCGATACGAACTTCCACACAAATCCAAATCGCAGCCTCTAAGGAGCAAAAACAAGCAGACCTTCTTCTGGTGGTGCCCAGTGTTAGCATTAACACTGCTAAATAGAGGCAAACTTGTGCAGCCTCATGAAAAGGTGCTTAGAGAGAGAGAGAGAGAGGGTGGGTGGGTTGGTGGGTGGATGGGACTTGCAGTGTGGACCATACTAGAAGATCTCCAACTTAGCTCCTTCTTGGTCTCACTGGATTGAAAACATGCTGCCTTGTCTGAAAGGGCTGACAGATGGAGCAAGAGAAATTACAGAGAGCAGCCTGGGTTTTTTTTTTTAACCCCGCTTCTCTCCGTGTTTGTAGGCAAAAGAGCTTTAATAAGCCTGAGAAGCTGAAGACAAGTTCCCTAGAGAAGAACTTGTCAAATCAAAATGTGTGTGTTGTTCTTACAAGAAGTGTTTTTTCAAAAAGAAATCAGACGGGGGTGGGTGGGTTGAGAGTCCTCATCTGCAAAGGTGAGGGGATGTGGCTGTCACGCTTCTTAAAGGAAAATTGCCCCCCTCCTCATATAGACCCCAAAAAGGCCATTCTGTGGGCCTGGCAGGTAGATGTTCACATTGCAAGGTGGAATTGTGCAGTGGTCACCCATTCAGACGGGGCTGGGCAAATGCACAACGGGGAAGTCTGCTAGTCCTCATGGTTCTGCGCCACCTCCCTGTGTCAGAGGCAGTGCCGCCCTGACCACCAGTTGCTGGGGAGCATGGGTGGCAGGGTGCTTTTGCACGCCTGGCCTTTGTCTGTAGGTCTCCCCAGGGCACCTGGTTAGCTGCTGTGTGAACAGAATGCTGACCGAGATGGCCCACAAGAGCCATAGGTTCACCAACACTGCCCTAACCCGGAAATACGGGTTAAATTGCATTGAAAAGAGGGTGAAAAGCCTTCCTACAGGAGGTTTTTCTGCCCAGCTCATCCTTTCTGCCCCTTCTAAACACGTTCCAACCATCAAAACCATGCCAGGATGCCTCGTTTTCCTAACCCTAACCCTACCCTGGGGCACACCCCAACCCTAATGCAGGGGTCCACTTCCACTGAAAAGAGGGCGATTGGCTCGTGTGTCAGCAAAGAGGGCTGTGCGTGCCCGCTGTGTCACACGTGCCATAGGTTCGCCTCCCCTGCTCTAGAGGAACCCGCTCTCCGGCCCGCAGTCCTGCCGAACATCCTCCGCAAGGCAGGTCCCTTTCTCCCCCATTCCCACCCACAAATCAATCCGTATTTTCTGACATGCAGAAAAGCCAGAGCAAACACGGAGACGGCAGGAGAGGTTTGTTTCCACTCTCAGGGTGGTAGAAACATCCTTGCCCTTTCCTAGGCCTTGGAGCTTGCTGGAAGCCGGTGTTCCCCGGCTGTTGCCCTCCAGATGGCCTTCCCAGGCCACACGAACATTGTGGCTGCACCTCTGGACAGCAGCAGGCCAAGTGCCGGCCGAGGTAACTGTGTCCTTTTCCCTTTCAGTCCGGAAGCCCCGCTACGTCAGACGGGAAAGATCGCTCATGTCCTCCGGCACCGCCACGAGTGTTTCTGCAGAGACGAGGGTCAGCAACGTGTGACGGCCGCCAGGGTCAGTCCCAGTTTGTACGTCCTGGCCCCGCCATCTCCTGCACAAAGCGCCGGGAAGGCGGCTGAGGTTACCAGCTGGAAGCTGTGGCGGGGACGCCAGACCACCGCCGTGAGCGGATTCGTGCCGAGCGCAGAGCCAAGAAATGTGGGCGCGAGAGCTCGGCTTTAGGTGAGAACTCGGGGCCGTGAGCGGCTCGTGGGCGAGCTGTGAAGCGCCTTTTTTCCTTTTCGGGCAGTGGCCGGAGCGCCAAAAGACGATGAGACGCTGCGTCCGCAGGGTCAGTGTGACGTTCTCCCGTGCGGCGGCCAGCTCTGTCTGTCGGCACGAAGGCTTCGTTCCGGGCCGGGGGCTCCAGCCCCGGGCTGCTTGAGGTACTGCGCTGTTTTGCATAGAAAAGTGCCATGTTTTTTGAGGCTGGTGGGAAGCCTTTGGCCTCTCCTCGTGGTTACTGTCGCACCCTGCCTCCGGGAGGCGCCCTTGTCCGAACCGGGCCGGATTCCTAGCCGGACGCTGCTGCACACTTGCACACGCCAATCTCTTGTTCGTTCTCTGGGTTTCCAAACGAGGCCTTGAGCAGCATTGCCGACGCCGAGCTGTTGAAGGCTGCTCTTGTTTCCTTCTCTCCCGTGTCTCTGCCTCTTCTGCCACGAAGCGCTCTGTTCTTCAGGCAGGGGGGAGACCCCACTGCCCAGCTGCCCCCTCCTCCCCACAACCACTTCCGAACCCCGCGCACGAGGAGCCAGATGTTTTCCTTGCCAACCTGTTGTGAGTGAGAAGCCAGCCGCGGCACCTCGCCCCCCGTCGGCCTCGGAGCCCCAGACAAGAGGGCAGGGTGTGCGAGGGACCCTCGGCGTGCACTTGCTTGCGACTCGCCCGACGGGGGGGGCTGCTTTGCCTGGGGGCCACCATCCAGCCTAGCTGGCAGAAATGGCGAACACTGAGGCCTGGTGGGGGGGAGGGCTAAGCCCACAACCGCTGGGGGACCCCTGTGCCCTTGGGCCTGGCTTTGGAGTACCTGGTGCAGGTGGCCTGAGCAGGGAGGTGTTTCCTCACGTGCCAATGCACTTGCTCCCCTTGGATGCGCATCCCTTGCAGATCTTACCTCCAGGTTTCCTCCTGCGGGTCAAAATGCCGTTCCAACCCATCCCAAGGCAGAGGTGTTAGGTGATGCCAAGCAGTTTTAGTGTGTTTCAAGGGCCTTTTGGGGGGAATATCTATTTTTAATTAAAAGGTTAGCTTTAAGTCATTTTGCAGTTGTTTCTTCTGTTCTAGCAGTATCCTCATTCTCCTCTCGTTCTCTCTTTAATTAGCCAGGGTTATTTTGATCTGTGATCTGATGTGGGGAAGAGAAAGAGATGACAGGGGACCTGTTAAGAGGTGTTCCCGGGCGTTAGGCGAACATGCAGAGTAAGGGCCCCACCAGCTGCAGTCAGCTCAGCCCAAGTGAGGATGATGGGTGTTGTGGTCCGGCACATTCTCTCCAAAGCCAACCTGTAAACGAGAACCACGCGCTCTATGGGAAGCCTCATTCCCTTTTGTTTTTGATGCATTTCCTGCTGCTCAAGTTGAGTGGCTATTTTAGTTCCCTTGCAAGTGATGAGAAGAGACCAAGGGAAGTTTCGGAACTCCTTGTTGGATGAGTTGGCCGTGATAACTATGCAACGATTACATGCATTCTCCTTTCTGAATGAAAGCCATTTCTGTTTTGTTCCGTGTGCATTTGTGGCTTAATTTAGCTCGAGGACTTGCCCCATTCCACCCTGACCTAAGTTCTGAAAACAGCACCTGCTTGACGCCCCTCGAAAGCCCATGCCCAGACCCTCTAGAAGGTGGAGAAGACCTCTGGTTTTGTGTCCTGGCCCTGAGGTGGGAGCCGCGCTTTGCCTTCCCTGGGTGTGTCGCATCATTCCAAGCAGGGAAAATGCGTCATGTTGCCAGCCTGGTGTGGGAAATCTTTGAACATGGTGCCTTTTGGATGAGTTGGGTTCCAACTTCCAACGGGAGAGCCGTTGTCCTCCTGATCCGTAGAATTTCCAGTAGGGAATGCCATATAACTTGAGTGGTTTCATTGTTTTTACTACTTGAGCCGTTGTATCCCACGAAAACTGTTCGTCGGTCCTCGTGTCGAGCTCGTTTTTCCCCATTCCCTTCTCCACTTCCACCCTCCCCCTTCACTTCCTTTAATAAAAGCACGCCAACTTCTGAGTTCAGTCCATTTAATTTGAAAAGCTGCCTGGGTTGGTCTCTTAGCACACCTGAAGCTGGGTTTGACAAAAGAACGGATTGGATGCAAAGAGTTTCTTTCTGGAGAAATATCTGCGGGGGGGGGGGGGTCTAAATGCCCTTTTTTCCTGCAGCAAACATAAAAACCTGCTCTGTTTAAGCAACCAAGCACCCCATCAAACTAGACCTCGGGGGCTGCATTCCGAAAGGCAGCAGCAACTGGTTGACTCCCATGTCACTAGGGGGACCTCATTCCCTGCAGCTTTTATGTTGAGCTTCCAAGGAGTGGTGAGGAGCCTTTTGGGAGGCTGGCATTCAGCAGTGCGGATATCTCCTAGAAAGCTCACGACAAAGGCCGCAGTGGGCGAGAACTCCCCAGTGATGGTGGAGACACCAGCCCTCCCTGCCAGAAGGTCTTCAGCGAGGGGGCAGCGCAGGCAAGACCAGCGCGGTCCAGAAGTTCAGCGGAAGTTCTCCGGTGGAAGAGGTGCTTGGTTCTTTCTACCTCGGTCGGCTCTTTCCACGCAGCGTGGGCGCATCCATCTCAGGCCGGAGGAGCAAGGTCTTCGGCTGCCATGTGCTTCCCTGCCCTGTAGAGGGCACTGCCTCACTTCTGTGTTCTGCCCTAGAGGTGAAGTTTGGGGAAGTTTGCCTGCTGGGGGTGGGCCAGGGAGGGAGGCAGGCAGGCAGACCCCGGCCCTTGCATGCTTCTTTGGAAGAGGTGGAGGGATCCATCGTCACCCTAGCCGCTTCACAAAATGCATGCAAAAGTATTGCCGGGGGATCCCCCCACCCCACCCCGAGAGCACATGCATCTTTTGGTACATGACGAGCAGCTTGCTTTACACAGCACTTAAATAAAGCCAATTATTCTTGTTTGGGATTTTCAATACACCAAGGTTAGCAGAAAAGGAGTTGAATGCACCTTCTCTTTCCCAGACTCTGTTGCAGAACCCTTCCTTTTTTTCTGTCTCTGTCTCCATCTCTCTATGAGATCTGACTCAGTATAAACGATTCACCCCAGGAGTTTTGGGGGGCCCTGGCTGTGAAAACAACACTAAACAGTGTTGTCAAACTAGAAGATGATAGCACAACGCTCAAAGCGAAGTGACATTGAAAACGAACGGAAGGGGAGCAGGGGAAAGAACCGGCAGGCGAATTTGTCGGTTAACCAGCCTCTGACCGAAACATAATGACCTTCGTCGAGCTGACAAGCGCATAGTCCCAGCCGTTAGGCGTCTGCTTGAAAGAACAGGGATCAAACAGCGCGGATCGTGCACAGGTGATGGCGCCCGTGGCGTATTATTCTGCGTACCTGAAAGGAGTTGTCTTGTTTCTAAGAAAAACAGCTGTGACTTGCTGGCAGGGACCTGCTCAGCGCCTCGGAGAGAATGCGATGGGGGAAATTGCTTTAAAACAATAACTTGTACAGCCACCGCGCCTGCTGGAAGGAAGGCTGACGCCCAATTACGCTCGCTTCAAAATTTTCCCTGCCAGCATCCTGACACTTGGATACAGTGAGCAGGGAGAGAGACGGCGGCACATGCATCAAATAACCGGGGAGGTCCACATCGCTTTGCAGCGGGAGTCCTTGCTGGCCTCGGCGAAGCGGCTCGAAACAGTGATGCCGCTTCTGTGGGAAGAGAGCATCCTTTTAAAGAAGGTCCTTTTCAAGGTGTGGCGTTTTCCCGAAAGCGCGCCGAATAAATACGCGCAGGTGGGTGTCACAGGAAGCTGGTCTTGGGGCCGTCCGTTCAGGTAGACCTGGAAAATCTGCACCAGACGCCGGTCCATGTTCAGGATCTTGTGTGGATGTATTTTCTCCCTTCTCTTGCCTGATCCTTTTAATGAAAGGGGAGAGGCTGAGATCTTGTAAAACCTCCTGCATGCAAAGCAAGCACTCTCCCAATAAGCTGAGAGACCCCTCCTGAATCCCCCAAATCAGGCCAAATCTGTCCTGTGGGTTGCCAGAATGACCCTAACCCTTGACTGTGCCCCCTTTTCCCCACCCAGCAATCATTGAGTCACTTTTCTCTGTTCCAAATGTCTCTCTCATGGCTTTGGTCCTTAGTAAAGCTTTTTGTATGAAATGTTCACTCCTGGACTGTTTGCAGACGCTGTGAGTTGCTCAAAAATAGAATTTGGCTCTTGGGCTGTAAGAGATTCAAATCCTCTGCCCAAAATCATGGAGGGCACGATCTTCATGATGATTATGTTGGGAAAGGAGGGCCAATTCATTTCAGCAGAAATGGCCTTCTCCATGGCACTTCTGCTGCTTGGTCTGGTCCGGATTTGTCCACACTTGGGTGGAAAGCCCATCATCCTTGAGCTTCTTGACGTGGGCCTGCAATGTTTGCTGCTTCTCCTCCTCCTCCTCCTCCTCCTCCTCCATCTTTTATAAGAGAAGGCTTCCCACTCGCATCCAGAATCAAAGATCAAACCAGAAGCCTTTTGCGTGCAAAATAAATGTTCTAGCACTTTGAAAACTGTGGGCCCTTTGAAAAACAAACTTCCTCACAAACGTACCTGCTCTTAATTGCATTCTGGCAATTTTAGGGTGCAGGTCTAGGAAGAGTTTTAGGTGCTATTTAAAGCTTTTTCATACCAACTTCTTGGAGTCTCAGAACAGTCTTACAATAAAATAAAGCACAGTATCATGTTCTATAAAACCCCAATTTAAATAACAATTTAAACCTTAACATGTTGGGAAAATAAAAAGGAATTGGCCTGGTGCCAAAAGAATAAAGTGTTGGTGCCAGACGAACCTCTCAGGAGAACAAGTTCCATAACCGGGTGCCACCACAGAGAAGGCCCTTTCCGGGTGGCTACTCTCCTAATCTAACGGTGGCCTTGGCTCTTGGCCCCAGGGAACATTTCCTGGTACGCGCTAGGAATGTGGCCAGGGAGTGTTGGATCTTGGCCAAATTGTAGTATTTCTGCTAGGATCGAAGCTCAGTTTCATAAGGAAGTAGCACTGGGAATCGTGTGTAAACAAGGAAGTGTTACAGGGAGAAATCTATAGCAAGTCTTCCCATCTGTGTGTCATTCGCTTTCAGAGTTCAATGTGTCTTGTGCCTCAAAACCATTTCAGTTTGTCGTTTCCCTTAGAGACGCCGGGTGAATTCAGACTTTGAGGATTGCATTATGGACTGACCGAAGAATCCAGCCCCTCCGAACTAACGGAGCAGGTCAGAACTGAGTTCTCCAACCGTATTTCCCAAATGTTAGCCTTGGAGCTCTCTTTCCGCCCAGAAAGACATCCCCAGATGTTGAGAGAAAATGTGTTGAAAACGAGGATTCAAATCCATGGCTTGGCCGGACCGAAACAGACTTCCCAAGTGGCATATCATATCCAGTAATCTGTGTTTCTAAGACATGGGCTTTCTCCATCCCACTTCCAAAAGCAAGCTTGCCATGTAGCCACTTCGAGGCTTCTGCGGGACCAGTGAGCAGCATATAAATTTAAAAATGAAAATTTGCCCTGCTTTCAGAGACAGTCCTTTGTCTGAGGGTGTCCTCTGTTGTCCGGCCTGAGTCAAGCGTTACGATAAACCAATTATTCAGACTTGGCATGGCCCAGCACAAAGAATTCATATGATTGACCCTAAAAGGAAAGTAACTTGCCCAAGAGCCTAAATCCAAAGTTGTAGGGCGCTTTCACTCCAAAACACAAGGCCTCTGCACCCAAATGCAAGTGGTTCTCAGCACCAGGCCAGCCTTCCAATTAGCAACAATAAATTTAAACGCTGTTGAAAATAAAACTCAGAAGGGCTAGGTATGCATGTGGAGGTCCCCATATGGTGACATACACTGTATTTCTTGTAAAATTGCTCTTACTTTCTAAATGTGCATCTAAAATACTGATGGGTGGACTTGCATCAAATGGTTTCACTATTTTCCAGGATAATAATGAATTTAGGCGTTTAAGCTCCTTGAAGAGCTCTCCTTTAAAACAGACTCTCATATGTTTGTTTGTTTGTATGTTTAATTCAAGCTTTTATATACTGTCCAACTACTGGCGTCTCAGGACGGTTTTACAATGAAAGCAGCACAAAATGAAATGGGGGACGGCATCCAATGCTTCCAGTATAGTAAAGCCCATATTACAACCTATTAAACATTAAAATAATGGGGAAATAAAAGGGTTTTCACCTGACGCTGAAAGGAATAAAGCGTCGGTGCCAGGCAAACTTCTCTGGGGAGCGAATTCCACAATTGGGCGCCACCACAGAGAAGGCCCTTCTCTGGGTAGCCACCCTCCTAATCTCCTTCAAGGAGGGCTGCCAGAGAAGGGCCTCTGCCCCAGATCTTAAGGGGTGGGCAGCCACATATGGAAGGAGAAGCTCCTTCAGGTAACCAGGTCCTAAAAATGTCTTAATAAATAAATAATAAATAAGCCATTTAGGGCTTTATAGCTCATCACCAGCACCTTAAGTTGGGCCCAGACTTCAACTGGCAGCCGGTGTAAATGGTATAGGAGCGCTGTTATATGGGAATACCTCCCAGTCCCCGTTAACATCCTGGCAGCTTTATTCTCTCGTTCCTATAAATGACATTGGTGGCTTGCACAATGTTGAAGAGGCCAAGTTTGCCAATTCACCGTGCGTTGGCGTGTTTCTTTGTCACCGTTTTACGTTGCTTGGTTGCTTTTTTGTGTGCTTTCTCATGCAAAACTCCACCCACAGGTGAGGATGCATATTTACTTACCCAACAAAAAGGAAAGTCCTGTACAAACAGGAGCCATTCAGATTTGATCCACTGAGAGTAAGAATGAGAAATTATGCTCAATCTGGCTTCCTGAAGAGGAGCCAAGCCATGGGTAAGCACAACCACTGGGGTAGAATGACATCATTGCACCCACTACCAGAATCAAGAAAAGGGTTCAGCCAAAGAACTCTGTGCATGCCCAGAGGTTGCATGGCTTATGTACAGACTGCACGTGCTCAGAAGTGCACAGTCGGTTGTAGAATTAATGGAGACTT